TGATCACGAGAGCTGCTACTTGTAGTGGTCTTGTGTTACCTACAGCCTGCACACTCTATGCCTCTATTACCCCTGTCTGCACCTGGCTCTGATGATTGATTCGAGCGAGAATTCGAAACAGCAGGCCGATAAACTCACTGTTCCAACGATCGCATCTCCTCCATCTGAATCTGTGCTGGTTTCCCATACACATGTGGCGCCGGTACCAAGCCCACGAACGGTCACGTGACTGCACTCCTATTTCTGCTTCTGGGACAGCCAATCACAGGTGCCGTAGAGTGCTATTGGCCAAGCAGTTGATCGAGCGACCAGTGGCGTTTATGCATTCACGCTCATAGCACGCTAGCAGACAGAAGCGGGCACGGGGCCCGGGCCTGTCGTGCATCGGAGCTTCAGCCCACCACTGAGTTTCTGTATACAATAAACAACTCCTACTGGTTTTACCCCTTCTTTTTCTATACGGGACTGGGCATGATAACTGTAGTGTTCTGAGCGCACTCACGGCCTAAACTCCTACACACGTATGCTTATGTGAGTGTCCTACTAACCCCCGAAAACAAAAAAGATACGTGCTTGCAGAGTGACTAACTGTTACAACTATTAATTCTACGACAGCGCTTCTTTTCCACACATGGGTTACTAGCCTGATGCTTTCTTGTTGCATTCGTTCTTTCTGTTATCCTTAGTTTTGCCTCTGGCATTTTCCGGTTTACCAGAAAAACCATTGTTGCACTGAAAGGTAAGCTGCATGATGAAGTGAAACCGACAAAAAGGAGGGGAGACTGGAATGGTCATTTTTGACCGTCAGCCAGTCATATCCAATCCCAGGGCTGGCGATCCCCAAGCTTCGAACCCCGAACCTTTGGTCACTGAGTGCCAGACTCTACCATTTCACCACGGCCTCGTTATCTTTGTCATTTGCGATCGTATACGTATTTCATCTTGGGCCAAGTGCCTGTCATATACCTGCCGGTCTAAATTCGCAGATAAATGCCCCGATCAATGCTCAGATAGTTTGCTAATCGAACGCATCAGATGAAGGCAAATACATTCCATTGCGCGTGTACATTCATAAAAATTTCCACGTCCTTCCCAACGCATTCGCGATGATATCAACAAGTACCCACTGTCTTTCAGAATCTGACCCCACAACGAAGACATCAAGGAACTAGCTTATGGCTAATACAGGTTAATGTCTCAGTACTTACAACAAAGGCAAGGTTTTGGGCCTTAGTGACGTGTGGTTCAGTAGCCGGCGTCTAAAATTGCTGTGTCCGGCGTCCTAGTTCAAGGCTAACAGCTTCGAAGACATGCGACCTCGCAGTGAGAGCTTTTAGACGTCATGGTCTGCAGACACTTGGCTGATTTCGGCCCGGACAGACACACGTGCATCCGGACAGTCTTGGCTGCCCAAGTGCCACTTGATCGCGCCCCTCCCCCCCTCTCGACCGATCCAGCATACGCCACCAGACACGGCACCCCTGGGGTAATACCACACGCACCCATTTGAGAACACTTAACCTGCTCCGTAATCCTATTTAAGAAATTGCCACCACTGTCTTATTCCCCCTCTGGTCTGATTGGACGAAATCAACACCAGCCAGTGGCTAATGCTGCCTAAGGAAGCAATTTAGGGTTCTGTGCACAATAGGTCCCTCATTCTGTTGACTTCTGTATTTTGGTACAAGCTGGGATTTGGCCTGATGATGGCAGCATTCATAGTAAGAACACTGCTTAAGCGCTACACTGTTACTGGCTTCTGGCACTGCAAGTCTTTCCAAAAGTTATTTGTATTCACTGATGAACGCTCATAGATCACCAACGAAACTCGCTCGTGCCGTTCTGCCTTGTAGCTCACTCTCGAGCCCTGCCAGCAGTAACTGTTAAGCAAACACTACGCCATTTAATGAAACCCTCCCACTGTTTGTCAGGGATTGGTTATCTGTGCAGCCGCCGCCCCTTAATGTTGTGGTGCTCTGAAGAGCCATCACATAAAGGTAACGAAACGAGAGCGTCCCTTAGCCCGCAACCCTAGTAGTTCCGATCTAGTAATAGATGCATTTGACATGATCGGACTGGCGAATAAAATGACCAAACTCTAAGTGATTAGTCGAGGTGGCCGAGAGAACAGAGTATGACACGACAGCCTTGTTTTCGCAGCATTCCAACCCGCGAGCCGACTAAACTACAGTCAAAATTCAGGCATGAAGGTGCATTGACAGATATTTTACGGTCAAAATGGTCATGCTCAACTTCTTTACTGTCGGTCTGTATCGATAAGTGACCCCGCTCGATGGAGGAGCTGAACGGTGAAGTCGCTAGAAATCGCATCAATCAGGTTTCAGTCTGGGACTGAAAACTATTGAGTCCTTTCATCATCCCCGGAAGAGGAAGAAGAAGAGGCGATTTCTCCTCCCTCTTCCGGGGATGATGAAAGGAATACTTTATCTGGACCTCGAATTCTTTCGCATATTAACTATTGAGTCCGCTAGCTGCAACTTGTTACCATCAGACTGACTTGTTTTCCCTCCGCGATGAAGACCCGGATAATGACTCTAAGAGGCGATCGCAATGAAGACTCGCCAATATGCAAAATTAAGACCCTACAGAACTCGCTAAAACTTGTGAGCATTTAATGCACATTCAGGTGAATTTACTAATTACCTAACCTCAAAAAATGGCCGACGTATCGCACCTTACTCACATTGCTACAACCGGCAATACCGTGAATGTTCGAAGTTCTCAAACATGTTCAAGATCAGGAATGATTACCTATGTGACATGGCAAATCAATAAACAAATATGTTCACAT